TCCACCCCCCAGGCGATGAGCAAGAACTGGTCCCTAAAACCATTTTTTGTCACATAATTTTCTATAAGGCATTAAAATTCGAGCTTATATTGTGCCGACGAGTATACACCACTTGGCAAAAATGAATTCTTAGCAAAACCCTAAAAACTTTGAACCTGTCGAAATAGGTGAATAGTAAAAACAGATCAAACTTTTTAACGGATTATTGTAAAATTTGTAAAACCGATGCACGTTACGTTATGGCGAATACTGAGCTGAAACATTTCCGAATGGGCCATCGACGGAGAGAAAAAAAAACATGAACATTTTCTATGTTAGCATTGTGGGCTGCTCAATTCATTTTGTATAACAACCAATCGCCCACTTCCAAAAAAAATGGTTGCTCATAACTGTAATTGCGACTGATATAAAGTTGCTTTGGCATCAGAATTCCAACGATCAAAGGAGATTTTCGTTCTGGGAAAATTCATGTTACTTTTAATTCAGTTTATGCGGTAGAAATTAGAAATGAACTCGTCGCTCGGGTTGAGAGCCCTCAGTATAATTTACTACCAAAGCTGGATCCACCAAAAAAAAAAAAATCGTACAATTACAATGTTTTCCGTACTACCTTCGCAGTAGAGGATGAATATGGATCATCTAGAATTTCCCAGACGATAGGCTGATTTCTTTGCCACCAAGACAGAGTCGGATCGTTGTAAAACCTTTGCCTCGATCTTTCACCGTCTGCATTTTCGTATTTAGGTCTGAAATCCAATGCTTGCAAGTTTTCCTGAGCGTCCCTGTGTTTTGTGTAATTCGGCCAGCAACAAGATTCCATTTGTTGCTCGTCTAAACCCCAATAAGCGAGTTCTTGTTCGAATAGAGGGCCGCAGATGTTGCGGGGACAATGAAGTTTCCCCGTTTGTAGGTAGTTCAAAACTTGCTGAAAAACTGCCGGATGTCGGTCAAAAAAATATTCACCCGATTCGGGATCATAGTCTAATTTCGAGCGATTGTCTAAGATCCTCGCCAGTGGAATATCTGGTATGTTTTTCAGCGTGCTGATATAAGGCTCGAAAACCTTGCCACCGACATTAAGAACTACTCTATCGCGGAGTTCTTTTATCGGCTTCGCTCCGCCAAGACTTTCAAGCCTCATCGTATCTCGCCTCTCTGAGGGAGTCATTTTGTCCTTCTCTTCGCTGAAAGTTATGGCATAAAGTTGGCTGAATAATCCTCTACCACAAATTTATCGAGAAACAGTCAGGATATTCCTCTCTTTGTCTCGATGTGTTTTCATTCTCATCCGGGACTTCATTGCGCCTTTTGCACCTGCTTGATATAGTTACCTGGAAACGGATGACACTTTTGTATTTCTTAAGTTCAATCCTGTGACAGTTTGAATAAATTATTCTTGCTGAAATGTGTCAAAGACATAATCGATCCATTTAAAAGAAAGATGTCTTTACAATACGATAAATTCAAGACAATGTTTGTGATGTCATTTGTAATTGAAATCGGTGCGCTTTGAAAGCTGGTTTAATTTTTTCCAAAGGGACTCAGTTTCACCAGAAAAAATTGTAACAAGAGGCAGGTCCGGTTAAGTTAAAACAAAAAAAAGGTATAACGCGCGACTAATTTTTGTCAAACGCAGCCAAATGTAAAGAGGGTTTATTTCACATTTCTTTTAAAAGGCCCATCATAATGTTCACCTCGACTAGAATACAACATTCTGTGTCTGAGGTGTAACTGATTATCAAACAATGTCCAATATGTCTGTTGATTGTTTCAATTTTGCTATATGAATGCTAAAAGTGCCTACGGCTTTCCTTTGTTATGATCTGTCACAAAATATTAACTGAAAATCGAAAGAAACCACTTTAACAACCCTCATTTTAAACTTCAGATTTCTCTTTTCTCAATAAATTCTTGTTTACTTCCAGCGCCAAAAAAAGAACTCGAAAGACGAGTAACGAAAGGTCTCTAATTGTTACCCTTAACTTAAGGAAGATGTAGATAAACCAAAAAAAAACCAACTACTAAAGAATACAAACAAAATATGTCTCACTGAACAATAGAATGTCCATCAACAGAACCAGGGAAATCCGAAATGTCGATTAAGATCCGCGGCATTTGTTTCTACAAAATTTAATTACTGATCGGTAGATTGACAATTATGACGGCAGAAAAAATCACTGTGAGAGTGGTAGAACGAGCTAAATGACAACAATGAAAAGTTTTTAAAGTCGGTTGCGGTTTTGAAAAGGAATCTGCTCTGGGCGCAGTTGTTGACTGTGACTGTGATAGTAAATGTGTGACTCTGGCTAAATGAATGTGACTGCGTGACTGAAAGTCATTGTGGCTGAGTGGCTGTAAGATTGATTGTGACCCTGAATCTGACTTAGTTCGATTGACTGAGACCATGTGACTGTGGCTGTGTGACTGTGACGGTGATTGTGTGACTTAGTGACAGAGCCTGTAATTGCGACTGTGGGTATGTCTGCAACTGTCTGTGACTGTGACAACGTGACTATGGCTGCGGTCGTGGCCGTGACTATAAACAAAACTGTAACTGTGATTGTCACTGTGACGGTGACTATATCTGTGACTGAGTGACGTTTTGACTTTGATTATGTGACCGTGACCGTGACCGTGATTGTCACTGTGGATGTGATTACAATCGTAACTGCAACTCCGTGTGTGAGTGAAAGTCTGACTGTGTAACCATGACTAAGAATGTAACGGTGTGATAGTGAGACTTTCACAGTAACAGTGATTGTGTGACCGTGACCGTGACAGTGAGTCGGAATATGACCGAGACTGTGACATGAGGAATATCACTGTGTAATATGCGACTGTAAAATAGGACGTATCATCTAGGTAGAGGCAATAATATCAATAATTTTAAAACTTAATAAATTTGAAAATATTACGATGGCTCCTTTAAGAAACAGTGTCAAGGTAAACTGAACCCCCCCCCCCCAAAAAAAAAAAAATTAATAAAATAAAATAAATTTGAACTTAAACAGGAGCCATTACTTGTAATGGGCTCCTGACTTAAATAGTTATCAGATATCAACTGGAGAAACTACAATTTTTTTTCCATACATATCGCGAAATGGTCTGAGCGGGCGCTGGGCTACAAAACGGAATGCAGAGGGGGAGGGAGGGGGAAAAAGTTCAATCAACACTGTTGTGTCTTCTGGACGTTCACTTGTCTTGGAAAAATCAACAACTAATTTTTCATTCATGAATAAGTTAAACCGTGGGTTACTTAATTTTTCTTATTTTGTCATGGTGTTTATTAACTGGTGACTGGACTTTGTGTCGTTCAATTCTTTCTGTGATCATACTCGCAATTAACAAATCGTACTTCCACCTCGTGATCGTCCTAACTGTTGATCACTACCGAATTGCTCTCTAAGCTGTCCTTCATTCTCAAAAGAAAAAAAAATTAGAGCCTTTTTGCGCCTTCATAAACTGACTTTTGATATCAGCCCACGAAAGAAGCTTGGTAAAACATCCATCATGACAACAATTACCATGAAGAAATATATTTCCGTTGGAAATTGAACCCCCTGGCGAGAAAGCCGACTTTATTTATTATCGATGGAGACTTTAAAATCTTGTCGGCAAAAACAAACTCTTTAGCCCTGAAGGTTTGGTTTATGGGAGTTACAAGAATAGGGAGTTAAAATTTTTTTCTTAATGTTATGTAAATCTTGAGATACCTTACAAAGTCACTAGCGAGAAAATCGAGAAAGTATCATAGTTTTTCTCTTATTTTCGTGCTATCTAAACTTTTTTTTTTTTTTTTAGCATTTGAGAGCCTAGCGACAAACATCGCCTGAAATCGTTTAAGCTGTCGGTTTATTTTTTACTTTGAATAGCCTTCGTGATACGAAATTATTTAAAGAGATAACATACAGATGGCATCCCAGTAGGTTACCTAGGACAAAGCAGACTTCGTTTTCCGGCTGCAGTAATTTTCATCACTCAGGCGACAGCGAAGTGAGAACAAGTTCAGTGAATGCTTAGTATTAAAACAGTGTGAGACTACGCAATGTCATTTTGGAAAAGTATATAAGTGGTACCACCAAAGATACAGCATCTGTATTTAAGCCATCATTTGCACTCGTTATCAAAGTAAAAAAAAAAAAAGGAAACAGTGCGCTTTAGAACCGTTTCTAAGATTGTACGTGCTTACGTACAAGTCCTGAATTTTGGTTTTGTTTTCATCATTTCAGCACCTGGATGGCATCAAATTTCTGAACGCTTGAATTATGAATATCAGGGCTAACAATAACATGTATAGCTTTGCAAAATTTGTCATCAAGTTGTAGAGTATAGTTACACAGTATTACGTCACAACAAACAGCGGATCCCAAGTTTCACAGGAAAATAAGTCCGAGATATATTAATCACTTGTCCGGTGTGTAACGAAGATCTATAACATCTTTTTATATTTCCGATGAACTTGCATTTTTGTCCGTTGAATATTTCTAAGAAAAAAAATGTAGGTTCGGGATTGAAAAAGCGACATCGAATGAGATTAAAAGTCTTCTGTTTCGCTGATAAGCCACATGTTTTTTCCCAAAGGTTTGAGGTGCAATCTTCCGGTTTCAAATTTTCATTAACGTGAATTAAAATTTTTAAGCCTTCACAAATTGTTCGTTTTGTTTTGTCGTCATTCGCTCTGCTGTTTACTTTCCATTGCGACCGTCTCTATGAGCAAATTTACATAACACCATTTCGCTTTTTTGGAGATGTTAATTTTAATTTCAACCAGTCAAAAGCGAGAGATTTTGAAACTGATGCGAGTTTTGCAGAATTCTCGACGCTGACTGGTCCAAAAATGACACATGCGTGTGACAGAGAACTCTTATATTAATAAAATGACTCAATGGACATTGTCCACGGATGGCTTTTATTAAACCTTCTAATTGGCAATCACCCAGTACAACATGAATATTTATGCTAGCGCAGGTGTAAGGAAGGATGCGATGGCTTTGTAATATCGCCCCACAAATTGCTAGAGCTAACCTATCCTGAAACGGAGCTTTGCTCTGCTCAGCAACCATTACCAAAACAGAGTAACAATCACTGATGAGTGGGAAGTTTCCTCTCTATCGTTGAAAAAAAAAAAAGGCTGGATGGCGAAATGCGAATAAAGACGGAGTTTCGTCAGGTGTAGATTACACGAAGAAAAACTCGGCAAATTTTAATTCACAAGAAGAAAACATAGGCCGCAGTGTGTTTATAGATGAAATTACCATACGGAGCTTGTTCAACTACAGCACCGGTCTTGTTTGGTGTCCTGTGCGGCGGTTAGCTTCTTGTAGCTGGGAGCGAACTCTCGAGCAAATCTAACGATAACATTGCACATTGTGTGTATTTACGTCAGGGGAAATGGCGAACGCTGGAAATTATCTCGACGCGATGAAAACCTGAATGAAAATGTCGGACGGAGCAGAAGAGATTCACCCAAATCCTTCGAGACCGGATCGAATTGTTATTAATTGCGGTGGAGTCCGTCATGAAACATTTAGAAGCACTCTTCGTAATTTCCCAGGAACACGTCTTGCCTGGTGTACAGAGAACGTGAATAACAGCTCTGAATTCTATGACGCGGAAAAGAATGAGTATTTCTTTGACCGACATCCTGGCGTTTTCGCAGCCATAATAAATTATTATCGCACGGGCAAGCTTCATAGTCCTCATGATGTTTGCGGGCCGCTTTTTGAAGACGAGTTATTGTTTTGGGGGATCGACGAGAAGCAAATGGAACCATGTTGCTGGACTTACTATACGCAGCATAGAGAAGCTCAAGAAAACTTGAAGTTCTTCGAAGCGGCAGAGATGACGGATGATGAGGATGATTTAAACTCTGAATTCGGCGAGTTGATTTCTGAGAATTTTGGGGGCGAGCAGCAGTCATGCTGGCAAAAGTACAAACCCAGGATTTGGAACGTTCTTGAGCACCAACGATCTTCAAAGTTGGCCCGGGTAAGTTGCTTGTTAACAAGGTTACTAAAGAAAAAACGTTCCGAGAAGGTCGATCATATACCGTTATAAACGAGTGTTTAACGAACGGCGGTTTTCTTCTCTAAGGCAAAGAATTATAGCGACGCTTGGTGAATTAATTCGTTGTATCGTGTGCAAGCTGACTTAGAAACGTCTGCGAAGGAAACAAAGAAGACAAAACTCAGTCAGAGATTCTGCCTTTTTTCTAAGTCACTTTTCCAGATGAATCGCTCATTCTAACATCAAATGATGCTATCTATAGAGCTTTTGGGAAAGCAATAGCAGTAGCGCCATAATAACGATAAAAAAGAAAGGATCCTAACAGAAAAAGCTAACACAAGGATCAATGCCGAGAAATTTATCGCCAAAACACAACGACCCTTTAAGGTTTCCTGTCGACTAAAATATCTGAGTGTCGATTGGAAATTTGTAAGTCATCATTAAATGTAAGAATTCGTATAAATTGCCAACGTGATATCTTAATAACCATGATGACAATACACGTCTTTTCCATTGGGTTGTAAAATTTTTGTGTTTAGGAGACCGGAAAGTTTCATTGAAACATCTGTTGAAAAGAAAAAGAGAAAAAAAACCTTCGGCTTGTTCGAATTGTTTGAAAAAGACAAAAATTGAGGAATTTTCGTGCTTTCAAGCGTGATGTTCTTATTTAAACAAAAAAACTCGTTTAACATTCATATCTATGAGACGTTTCTGTCCAAAAACGTGCTTTACACAATGAGTTAAATAAATTCAAGAAACAGACGCGAATCGCCCTCCAGAAATTGCGTTTTTTGATTCCGAGATTTAAACCTTCTACTTAAGCCCGCACTTCAGTGTAACAGCTTTAAGAATAGTCGATGATACTGTACTTTCCACGAATTTGAATTGAAGGCAAAATATATCCAAACATAAATAATTGTGTATATACATCGGAATAAACAGCTCTGCATAGAAACCATGTTTTCCTAATAATTCATTTAGTATTGAAGTCATTTTTATTTTACGATTTAAGCAGGGCATATTGAAATCGTTACATCTGTGAGTGAAAATTTTGGTCGATAATTTTGAGTTCATGTGGAAATTTCACGGTCTATGTCATTTTTTACCAAAATAATTGTTGCAGTCAGTCTTTTATCATGCACCGATAAATGAATCTCAAAAAGGGGGCGGGGTCGGAGACTATACGTGTAATATAAACATCAATGGGGTACCATTAGAAATGTAACTATTCGGTAATGGAAAAGTGGAAGTCTCGCATAGAAGCAAGCTCTTTATATTAGTATTCATTTAAAACTCTAAGGAGCTTTTAAAATTTCCATCCTAAAATGTCAAATCATCTAGGGAAGGATACGCTTCCAATCGAAACTTGGTAAAGGATTTTGCCCAAACATGCTAATTTTCATTTCGTTTCCATGCACACGTCTGCACATTTATCAGACAAAAACAAAAATTCATTTCCATAACGAAGCTTTTCAAAAAAGTCCAATTACAATTTCTCACTTTGACGAACACATTACAGTGGTCGCCCAGAGTCGTTAGGCGGGTTCTTGCTGGGAAATTCATATGACCTCAATGATGGAAATGCTTCTTCCATAGAATGCGTGGCCAAATAGTTTTCTGAGAAAAACTAAATTCTTTAAACTTTTTTCCTTGACGAAACATTGGAAGATAATTTAAGTGGATAAATTTATATTCATTAAAAAACCGCTAGTAATAAATAAGTTCCTATAAAGTATAGAATTTTTTAGAAAAAGAAAAACTGAGTTCCGGGGTATTGGAACAGTTATTTACTTGATTGATTAGTGAAACATAAGGGTGTGCATTCTATTTTGTGAATGCCAGAGACACGATTTCTCATCTGATGAATTCTTATGCTGATTACGTAATTTACGGAAAAAAACAATTGATTTCAAAATAGTTCTTTGAAAACAGCATGGTTCCTACCTTTTTGTTGCTTTTTAACGTCAGCAGGGGGCATTATTTTTCTTTCCGAAAAGTGAGAGAGAGCTTCTATGTAGAAGGGAAAGTCAGAAATACTCGGAAGAAAAATAAAACATCCTGAGTGAAACTGAAACAAAGTATCGTTACGGCCACATAATAAAAGCAAAAGTTATACCACCATTACTGAAAGCCGCCTTCTTTTAATACCCATAAACAGTTTTATCCAACCATGTTTCGTTTCAAAATTGGAAACAAATTTGGAAAAAATTAGACCTTATCGTATCATCAACGGTGTCTAATCTTCTCTCATGCAATTGTACTTTTACTTTGAAATATAGGAGTTCATGACCAGGGATCACTCGATTTTTTATTTTCGGAGTATGCTCGTCTATTCAAATACTGGCACGGTCTAACGTTAGGACTGTAACCTTTCCTGAATTGGCAAAACCTTTGCAATTACGTTGACAATTCCTAGTTACGTAAGAGTTGCTCGCCAGTGCAGCATGACAGGTGCTTTGGAAGTTTATAGCCCGCTAAATTAAACACATCGGTCAAATGTCTGCCATGCGCATGGAGAAAAAAATTTTCGCCAGCCCACCCGCAAGTTCCCGCGCAGAATTTCATAGGATAACACGATAAAAAACAGCTGTCACGCAGGACGTGCGAAAGGGATTTAATACGTTCGTGGAAATATTACAAGGAAACAAAAGTCGATAAAATGAAACTTAAATCCTCTCAACTACCTAACCATTGCATAGTTCATATAGCCGTCAACGTTTGGTCTGTTGGTAATTACTCTCTGCAGGGAATCGTTGGAGCGAATCTTAAATATTGTTTTTAGTTCATTTATTTCGATCTCGAAGTCTCTTAGTTTTCTCAGAGCTTCGAAATACTTGGAATTTGCTGCTGCAGTCAAGGGTCTCAGTTTACTCTTCCAGGGGTAACCTAAAGCTATCAATGCGAATGATAAAAGTCTGTTTACGAGACTCTTATTCTGCCCTTATTAACTTCCACGCTGCATAAATCTGCAGCTTTTTTACCCATAATTAATGAATATATCTTACATCTTGACGGGTTTTACCATTTGCAGCCCTCAGAGTACAGATTACCGACTTTACAAATAAGAGAGATTTTTGTGTATATTTACAGGTTATGTTTCTCGTCTCATTGATGTTCATTATACTGTCAGTGCTGGCGTACTGCGTGCAGACTATGAAGGTGGTAAAAGATAACAGAACTGCAAGTGTTGCCATGGTGATAATAGAAGGCGTGTGTGGAGTCTGGTTCACCGTTGAGTTTACACTCAGACTGGCCACGTGCCCCAGCAAACACGACTTTGTTAAGCAGATAATGAACTGGGTGGACTTCATTGCCATCTGGCCTTTTTATGTTCGTATCTTAACCACAGAAAATTACCCAGATGGAGAGCCAAAAATTGAATACGACATCTTGGCCATTTTACGGCTCTTCCGGCTACTACGGTTTTTCAAGGTGAATCTGGGATTCCAAATTCTCAAGCAAACTATGATTGCCAGTTCCCGCGAGCTGATGCTATTGGTTTTATTGCTAATCGTCCCCGTAATCATCTTCGCCAGTTGTGCATATCTTGCAGAGAAGGGTGATAATTCAGAAGACTTTCCTTCCATCGTTGAATCGTTCTGGTGGGCCATCATTACCATAACAACAGTAGGCTATGGAGATGACGTCCCGAAGACAGGTGTTGGAAAACTCTTTGGCTCACTTTGTGCTGCCCTTTCAATCGTCATCACAGCTCTTCCAATCTCAATCATCGGAAGTAACTTCTCGTTGTACTATTCACATGCGCAAGCGCAGATGAAGCTTCCTAAGAAATCCAAACGGCCTATGGTTGGGGCAGCAAATGTTTTAATGTTACAGTCGGCGAGACCAAGTGAGGACATGACAAGTACAGATATGACTGAGGGAAGGCTGGATCTAAGGAAATCATCGCCAGTCGTCAATGGATCTCTGGGTGGGGACGCTAAAATACATCCATACCGCGGACGGTGAGTGTAGTTAAAATATATATATAAAAAAATTTAATTTTTTTAGGAAATCGTGATGGCCTAACGGTGAGCGTGTTGTACTCTGGCTCGAGGGGCTCGAGTTCAAGACTCGGCTGGGTGACTATGTTGTGTTTTTAATAAATAAAAGGCCTCTCTCTCAACCCACAGTATGGGTACTGGCGAACTGTCAGGGAAGCGAGAGAAAAAGCTGGAGGAGGGGGTTTGACCGGTGATGAAATAACATCCCATCCAGGAAACTGGGGTAAACTCCGGCTTGGCTCGATAACAAAGTTTACAAGACAGCTGCCACCAATTTTAAATAAGATATAAAACCAATGGTAAAAACGTTTACGCCATGAATCTAAGGCAGCCGGTTATGGTTGACGAGTTCTCCTAACTATTTGAAGAAACGAATTCACGAAAAATTTGAACTAATATAAAACTGTCTTTAAAGCTTAACCACCAGCACATTATACAATTAATCAATCGATAAGTGGTCATTTAATCGAGCAGACAATCACTGAGACCCAACAGGCTTTTTGGTCGCTCAGTCGAGTGGGTCAGAAGCAGCTCAGTAAAGAGGGTAACAACTTTTGTGAAATACTCTCTAAGTGAATTTCATAATCAATTAGGATATGCCTCAAACATCTCAATAACTACAATCGGTAATTTTAAATAAGAATTTATTTCTGAGGTTCTTGATCACAGTTCTCATATCCACCAGGGCTAGACGAGCACGGTCATCTTTATACGCAGGAGCTATGAATCATCGACAATCGTTCCCAGTCCGCTCCCGAAGCAGCGAGGAATTCAATGCTGTTAACAGTCCTCCACTTGACGGCAGAAAAAAGAGCCACACTAGTACCCAGAGTACAACAATAGACACTCCACCCAAAAGCCCCCCTCTTTATGGAAACACACTGACGGTGGACCCGCCGGAACTTTCGGAAGCCATCACAGGCTTTGTAGACGACCCGCCGGAAAAGCCTTCAACAAAAAGTCCACCCATAGTGCACAGGGAGAGTGAAGAGTTTGAAATTGATGACATCGACCATGTACTCGCAACTATTAAAACGCACGAGAAAAAAGGTAACTTGGTCAATGGTAATGCCCGACCCGGGTCTCCGGGCCAACCGGGAACCCCAGGGAGACCAGGAACCCCGGTGAAGAGGACACCCAAAAATTCGGTACGGTTTGTGAAACCGACTTTAACCGTGACATTGAATAGAGTAGACGGAAACATGATTAATGAATCATTTGACGAAGATGTCCAGTACGACGAGTTCGAACATGAGGAAAATAAAAAGAGCGTGGAGCGAAGGCCTGAAGTACAAATCACGGTTTCAGGACATCGGAATTTTAGAGGCGGTTCGTCAGAACCAGAGGAAAGTCAGGCGTAATAAAAATTCAGGACTTGGTGAATCAGTGACGTAGTTCGGTACAACTGCTGAGTGGTTCCATCTAAATCTAAATTTTGATGAAAAAAAATAGTTAGCTTGAAGTCTCATTTTGACAGCGAAGGAAAACATTCGAGTGTAACTATCCCCCCCCTCCTTCTACTCCTGATGGTATGGAGCAGTTTCCCAAAGGTAATCAAAGAAATGTTTTGACAGTTCAACGCAATTTAAAGCTGTGAAGGAAGGACTTTGAGACAGAAAGATCCGACGGTAACTTCGGAGAGCACTGGTATAATGACCTTTCATTAGATCCTGAACTAAAGCATTAAGACAAAATACCACGGCTACCACTTACCCATAATTCCATGGGAACATGCGGACCAGAGATGTTCTGGATAGAACCATAACAGCCAAAATGATGCAGTTGCAGTCGACAAGGTTGACTCTAGCTAATTCAAAGGTCAATTGTGTTCAAAACCTCTCTCGGAGTAAATCATGACGAACTGAAAACTCATCTCATCTCAGCTTTTACGATAAGTTGATTTGTCTTCTTGGTTTCCACCAAACTTAGCACAAAACCTTGAAAGGAGATCTATGAGAAGTTTGAGTAATCGGGGCGTGCAAAAATGTAAAGCTGATTGATGGTTTGCGACTCCACTGATTCAATAAGTCCTGAATAAAGGATGATGTTTTTGTCCTTTTCATAATCTCGTTTGTACACACCCATGACATTTTCCTCGAGAATCGGAAATCAGTGCCCATCCTGTAAAAGTTCCAGAAACACAAGGACCACGTGATCTGTGAGGCAGTTCAAGTTGCCATGTCGACAAGTAACCACGACGAATCCAGTGAGCTACCACTTAGCTTCATTTCTTGAAAGTAGAAACCACGTTACTGGGTAATGAAATGTGGACTCTATAAAAACGTTCGAAACAAACAAAAAATTCGTTCGATATAAAAGGAATGTATGGAGCCATGGACAAACAGACTCCGCGAGATAAACTTGCACTCATAGAGTAGTTACGTCAAGGTTGGTACATTACAAAACTTTCACCTAAGTTTCTCGCTTTCGACATTAACAATCGCGTTCAATCCTAGACTATCTTCACCCCTTAACTGTATATTCATCCTTTTTTATTCTTTTCCATCTTAGCAAACTAATGTTTTGTGGTTTTTCCACAAGTTGGGGAATATTTGCCTGTCGCATAAACCGACACAAAATTTCATATTCATGACATGGCTCTTGGAATACTCCATTGCACGTAGATGTATGAGATAGGAAATAGTGCCCTGTTTTCGGGCAATTCTTTGATAATGACCAAATATTTTATGAAGCATCGGCTTAATTAAGTGTATAAATGTTTATGAACAGTGCAAAGCATAAGTAAATGTTTCACTATCTGAGTAAACTGAATTTCGCACAGACTAAACAAAAAGACATCCGCTTTGAAATTTGCTGTGTTTTCTTCGGAATTCAGGTATCCTTAAAATAAATTTGTCGTTGTGTATCCAGTGTTACACGCTGCGCCGCTATGAAAAAGAACCGGTCTCTTCAATGCAGTAAAAAACTAATTATCGAAAAGGATCAGACCTTCAAGTTAGAGAATTGGATGAAATTTTTAGCTGAGGCAAATAACATGCCTTGGCTTGCTAGTCTCTACGCACGTTTTCAAAATTGTTAGGATGTTAAACTAAACAATAGGCTTGTGTAATCTATAAGGAAAAAATTTCATAAAAAGAAAAATACAAGGCTTGTATCAACCAATCCAACCACACTTATTGAAGAGGATAACGGTATTTTCAGAAGAAGCCTAGTTTGACTTAACCACTATTTAAATGGACATATTCAAGATCGTTAGGGAAGAGTTGCCAATCTAAAGGTTACGTGAAAGCATCACTAACAAAGCGAGAGGAAGTTGTTTGGCTAATAGTAATTTACAAGACTTTAGTCAGACTCGAGAAAATGGACACGATGTTTTCAACTAATTCTCGTGGATTAATCTATCAGGGTTGAGTTGGAAAGTTTAAAATTTTATCAGGTGATACGATAGTACCAATCCTTTGAGGGACATGTTTAAGCCAACATCTGCTTGAGTCCGTGTTTGTTCGAGTGGGTTAAGGTTAAATCACAAAAAAGGGACTGGAAACGAAAGCAAGCGTATGACTTCACCTGCACTAAATGAGACTATTAACGGCGAAGGTCTGGGTACTTCTACACACTGTAAGTATCAAAATTACGGACTGTGATTGGTTAGTAATTAATTTGAGCTATCATCTTTGAAAAAGAACAACTAGCGATTGAGAAAATTAGATTTATTATAGCTACATTTTGTAAATTTTGTAATAATTGGTTTTAATGCCTAATGTATGCAAGCAATCGACAGAGTATTTTCCTACTGTAAATTATACAGAATTGAATATAGTTGGCAGTCGTTAGTTTGTACTTGTCTATAGTTGTGAAACAGACACTGCTCAACAAATTGAACGTTACTCCAGCAGAATCCAGAAGGTCTAATATAACTTTGCACATCTCTTATTTCCAAAAGATTATAAACTGGTTTATAATTTCTTGTTCATATACTTCAAGAACAGTCACAGGGAACGCAGTTAATTATATGGATGGTTAATAATATTACTTGAAATCAACTGTTCCCTTTTTGGCGAAGATTTGCCTTAAAGAAAGTAACAACGACTACATTGATTCCTTTCTGAAAGGAAATAATGTCTGACGAATGACTTCTTTCAAAAATCCTTTTTTTTTTTTTGATGCTGGAAACAGAGCTTTTTAATTTGAATTTATAAATTCGTAAAATATAATCCTGAGCATCACATAGAATAAGCTTTAATTTGTATTTATATACTCAGCCATTTAATTCTTAAATCCCTAAGATTGACTAGTATCTATTTCCCCTTAAAGTATCACTACTGGATCCAACATTAAGGTCATGATAATAAAGGAAATGCTCACCAGCTAAAAGAGCTCCTGCCTGTCAAACAAATTATCCTTGCCAGTACTATAGGAGATATATAGAGAACAGTATGAATAATATGCGCACTGATGTCAAGGCGTAAAGGGTAAAATGTGTCGATGAAACTTAAATGTAATAAGTTTTTCATAGATTTATACATAAAATGTATCCAAATATCGTTCGACTTAGGACTTTGATGTGATACAATTCTAGCTTTAAAAGTAGCTATTGTATTTAATGACTCCATTGATCATTCTTCCAGAGAAATTCCAAGAGCCACAGAAAAAAATAAAAAAACAAAACAAAACAAAACATATTGAAAGTACTAAGAGTCACTAATTTTTGTTCTTTTTTGACACTCGAAACATGCAGTGAAACCTTCAAAAATTTTACCGCGCCTGCAAAAATCCAGACGTCGTGACTTAAATTAGAGAGGAAACGCTGAAATTTTATTTAAAACTGCGTTTATTAAGTTTACTTTCCCCTTCTCTCGCCGACACGAAGCTAAATATGCATCCGCTATTCAGGAAATGAACCCGAGTTCGTTTTTGAAAGAAAACCGAGCAAAAGAAGCGGCAGATATCAATATTACACACAAATCAATTAAACCACATTTGGGGAGCGAGGTAGTGTATCTAGAAGGATCGAAATGCAAGCATTATGCCAAGCCGAAAGCAAAATAAGAAAAAGTATTTGACACACAATCGCCGTCGTTTTTCAGATTAATGTTATTCCTTGAAATTCTGTGAGGTGGGCGGGCCACCAAACTTGACCCCTTACGCATGCCAGACGTTCGAGCGCCGTGTTGTTTTGTGGGTTTCGCTTGCGGTCGCATTCGTATTCGTCGAAGGTAAGTTAATGATATGCTGGTTCCGTACAATAAATGAGCTCCCTTAATTTGCAAATCCAGCAATTTTATCTCCCGCTGGCTCTAATTCATAACAAACGCGCAAACGATCTTGTAACTTGTATACGCTTCTATTATTGCTGCCAAAGTGTGCCTTTTCAATCATAAATTTTTATCATATGTGCTTTTAATCGGGCCTCAATTGATTTCTTTTGCTCTCCAGCCAAAACATGTATGCTAAACTGCTCTCCTAACGCCTGCAGCAAGTTAGGCAATTTACTCTAACCCCAATTAAGACTACACACAATTTATATCTTTCCGAAAAGCGTTTCACTGGGTCCAGTTTAAGAAGAAATTTTGCAAGCGAAAATGTATGGCCCACTGTTTATGGCGTTTGGAAAGAAGAGAAATCACATAGATTGCAGTGCTGAGCTCCAACGAAATGTTTAACATCATTTGAACCAAAACATTTCCGAAAATATGTAATTTCAACATTTTTAGCAGGCAGAGTTTCATTGCAAGAACCGTGAACAAAACTTTGCAAGTTCTTTATTTAAAGTTTATTATTATGGGGTTTTACGCCATCGTTGCATTGCTATGGAGGGTCCATTCACTAAATTAATAGTTATCACTCCGCTTCTATAATTTTTTTTAACAATTGAAACTTTCAGGCTTCCCAAAGATTTGTTAACAATTCATCGCCATAGGTTTATACTCACGAATTTCAGAGGATTTCTTTTTTCCTTAGCAGAGGAAGGTATGTCTTCGGATGATTCCAACGTGAACTAAAATGATTTGCGTTTCCTCTCCTTTCCACAACTAAAAAAAACATCTTAATTTCCCCGCAAAGTCGATTATTTTAATATGAACCATCTTGGCTACAGACGGGTGGTCTTTAATGTGCTCATGATTAAAAATATCCACAATAAAATCACTTTGAAAATGCTTAAATTTTTTTCGAATTTCACCTAAAAAAAATTCTTTGAAAACACCTTTTGGGTCACCTTGGTATCTAATTTCTCCAATTCCTTTGGAAATCATAATCCACGAGAGAGTTTGACCTGGAAATTTAGTTTCATTTCAGATAAAAATAATAATCGCCCTCACAACAAAATTGGCTTTTTTTTTTTTTTGGAATTTCATTGTTGCCAACAAGCTCTTATCTGTTCGCGAGTATCGAAAAGAAACCGCAATTTCGACAACTGAAGCTTTATACTAAAACAAAGAAATATCATTCTCTCCCTAGTAGGTTCCTAGGTGTCAAATCCACGCCAGAACTAAAGATTTCCGCCAATTAGGAATTTAGTCCCGAAACTGTCAGTCAGGGAATGATAGCGGCGAAATGATTATTCAATTTTTACAACGATCACTTTGATTTTTTCATCTACTTCTTATTGCATCCGGTTAAACGGAATGTTTTGGACTTTAGTATTGATAGCACAACGCTAGAAATAATCAACGGCGCATATGATGAATTTAAAGCTTTTAGGATATGTTTCATAGTTGTCTTTTGATTGGCTAATGGCGCTATTCATTGTATTTAAATATTGATTTACAACGTAAAACAAACCGCAGAGAGTTCGTAAATTAACCAGAGTGCCTCTAGAACCCGTACCACAATCGAGTTACGTTTCCTGTGCAGGCAAACGCGATACAGAGGTGTTATTTAATCGTTGGGACGTTTGGGGTCACTACCGTGATAAACGCCCATTTCTTACAGCATCGAAAAGGTGCATCAACGAGACCTGTTTTGGATAAAATGCAAATGCATTTAAAATTACAAGAAGACTTCGATGAACAGGTGGCCAGGGAAGTGTAATGAATGAAACCTCTGTGTTTTGAATTGCCTCAACCAAGCCACACGTTTCGCCTGTCGTAAATTTTGATTGGCAAAATGCTTTTTAGTACGTGAAAATCTTAGCATAACGAGTGGTTATCTCAACAACACTGCAAAGTTTCGATGCTTCTTCAAGAAGGGATGGTAATTCGGTCGAAAACCGAATCCAACTTCGAAGACTCGCTGCCTGCGCGCGGCGTAGCGAAGGATCGGGTTATTATCAATGTAGGAGGGTATCGCCATGAGACGTACTTAAGCACACTTAAAGTTGTACCGGATTCGCGGCTGGCTTGGATAGCTGAAAATGCTTCAAAGCAAGCTGAGTATGACCCCGAGAACAACGAGTATTTCTTTGACCGACATCCAGGGGTATTCGTCAGTATTATCAATTACTATAGGACCGGCAAGCTGCACAGCCCGAGCGATGTTTGCGGGCCGCTATTTGAAGAGGAGCTGGCTTTTTGGGGTATCGATGAGTTACAGATGGAACCTTGTTGTTGGAGTAATTACACGCAACATAGAGATGCACAAGCCACTCTTAAGGCCTTCGAAGGCTTGCAGAAAAGTGTCGAGGAATCCGAAAACGAAAACAGTCCATTCAAAGTTCGAAAGAAGGTTTCATCGCGAATGAAGTGGAAAAGCGAAATTTGGGCCATGTTGGAAGAACCATACTCTTCGAAATACGCGCAGGTAAGCGGATTTGATTTGAGGATATCCTATTGGCTTAAAAATGCAAATTATAACATAACATAAAATTTCGATATTGATCAAAGCAATTTTGCCCCGTGAGTATCTGAAAAAATTACCCGCCAGTTTTCCCGTTTTTACCTGGCGATAGAAACGTCCGTTTCTAATTTACATGCAATGGATCGAATAGAAAGCTCTCGATATGAAGTGCGGAAGTGATGTGTATTTGCACGATTGTTTTGCTACACTTTAAGTGCATTTGTGTGATTTTGTGTGCAAGGTTTAAGTCATTTTAAACTTTCTTTTCTCTTTTGCAATTGTATGACGACCAAGCTTCCGCGAAAAGGTTGTACATATGCAAATTACCGTAAGCCAGTTGACATTTTGACTAAAGGCTGTGTGTTTTGAAACTTCAATTGGAATAATTGTCTATTTGAGTCGATGTGCCTTCTGCTAACATCACAATTTTTTTGGCAAACGTTTTAAACAGGGACTTGTCTATACGCAACTATCATCCTATCAAGAGCGTATCTGATTTTATCCACTTCTTGACCAACAAAAAAAAAAAATTCCTCGCGTAGATCCTGTTTGTTTTGTTGTATATTTGTTTTAAATTTCGCCTTCATTTACGATGTCGTCTATGGATTCTGTCCAATGCTTCAAACACGTTTTTTTTCCTTTTAACTAAATATCAACAACTCAGCTTGCTGTTAAAAATTTGAACGCGAACAAGATTGTCGAGCAACAGAACTCAAGGCATTCTCCCATTAAAGACCATGGGAATAACACCGTCTTTTTCAAGCTTATTAGATCTTCTACAAGATTGTCTCTTTAACTCATGAATATTTTAAGAGCTGCTCCTTCGTTTTTTATGCACTTTTTGTGTTGCGCGAAACTAATTTTGCCGCGTCTTTTGTTGGATGGAACTAAACTCACAAATCAGTGAAAATAATTATTCCTACCAGATACTAAAACTTGGCGATATGTGACCGAAAAGTTTTAATGCAATCTTTACTTACTCTATTGATTCGACAACGAAAAACCATAACAAAGCTTTCTAACGAAGGACTGGGAAAAAACATCCCTGTAAAGTACTGAACGATAAAACATTTGAAATTTCAAGCGACAAAATAACACTTTCTTCGATTTAGACTTAACTACCCATTGAAGGACTTTACCGATTTAATACAAAATTCATTTTCCAATAAATCTAAAATTCAAATTATTTAGTTCTTTGAAGGCTAAGAGAAAATTTTTTTTCCTCACGAAGAAAAGGGACTCATTTTTCGAAGCTAAATTTGATATTTTTTCTCGTGGTAGCTTGTTTTAAGAGAGATCCTTTATTTTAACTCAATATGACTTATACCGAAATGAAAAACAATACATTTTGCGTATTGGATTCGTTAATAAACACGTCCCGACAGTATGTTCATGATAACATAAAATACATTATAATTCTCGCCTCCAAGGCTAATATAACATTCTGAAATTGATAAAACTTGAGTTAAATACTGTAGAACAGCTCCTGTTGATAAAATCGTTGAAAAGGTTCCATAGTAAATGTATTTTGTCTTTTTCAAGCTGTTTTAAACTGCTCCGACAGTGCGTGGGTACCTGCTGTAGGAATTTAGCATAATATTGTATGAGTAAATAGCTAAATTTGACTAACAAATTGAAGGGGCGAAAAGGTGGCATGGCATATAAAAGTGATGAAGAGAATTAAAATTTCTTATCTTTTTATTTTTCAAAGTGTGTAGAATACATGAATTCAACAGCTTTACGGTTGTCTAGTCTGGAATCGATAATAACGCTGGGGTGTATTCTCTTAAATACTCTTCAAAGGTAAATAATGATCGGCTGAATGTTGACGAGAGTTTGATTGTCTCGTAGTAAGTCGATAAATTCGCGCCGATTTTGGTTCATCATTTTAATTATTATTTCCTAAGCCGACATTTCATTAGGCCTACAATTAAATTGCATCATGCGTGATGCACGGTGGGTTGCTTAAAGTTTATATAACCTTAAAAACATCTCAAGGATGAAAAATGTCCGTCGGACCAAAGTTCAATTGTTTTTTCTGTTGAAAGTAAGCTTAGTAAATATCGTCAGCAGGTGTTGGAAATAGTGCCCCGAAGAAACGAAGGAACCGGCATCGAAACAAAAGTAAAATAACGGGCAGGATATTTTATGAGTGGGTTAGTACTTACGTTGGAAAAAATTGCAACGTTGGCGCGTTTGAAAAACACATATAATTCGTAACTGTTTTGCTATCAAATGTTCGATTGTCTGGTGAGTCGATAATTTCACGCCACATTTATTCAACCCTATTTACAGTCATTTCAATTGTTTTGAAATCAAAGAGCATGTTTTATTGAAATCCACTACGAAGGTCGTTATCCCAAGACTGTTAGTTATTCAAGCCTTCTTACGATCTCCTCTCGATTATCGCAGAAAATTTAACAGGGGGTGCCATTATTGTCAATAATTCATGATCACCAGTCGAGAAAGGAATAAATTGGTGACATGAAAAAAAAAAACAGTCCTCTTCTTGGAAATGCATAATACTGACGCAGATACTAATTTTAGTTTATGCCTGCTCCACCATAAGGCCAAAAAGGAGTATTTTCCTTGAATAAAAATAAAAATTCTATATTCAGACGGACTAAAGGGATATTTTCTCAAGCTAAACAGAACGAAGCAAGGAGATTTTTCTTATGAGAGCCTAGGTGCTACATTTGGCGACGAAATATGTGGCTGGAAAAAGGCAAATGCAAATTTTTCAGTAACTCTAGTGGAAAAAAAAAGGGAGAAGAGAGGAATACGCTTGAAGGTATTCCTTTGATCGAAAAAATTGCCATTGGTGAAGACCGTTCCAATTTAAATTCGCCATCGAAAAGACCCAGTTTTCTGCACAATTGTTGAGTGCCGTAGGCCTCCACTAAATTGTTTATACTCCAGCTTGCATATTTTAGTAAACAGAGAGGACAAGTAATTTTAATCTAAAATAAAGGACATCTGTTTGTATACGTTTTTTTTTTGCAAAAGGTCATAATTTTTTAGTTATGACTACGGCTCAAACTTTATGAAGAAAGTGACTTTAAGGTAAAATCAAATACAGTATCTATTCAGTCTCATTTGCATTTTGATAAATTAAACGACACTTTTTAAAAACATGTTTCAACAGTTCCTCTGTCATCTTCAGTTCTGATTTTACAAAGTACAAAGTTGAATTTAAAGTGTAAAACAAAATGCTCCTTGGACAAAACAAACAATAGTAAAAGTAAATAATAACATAGCAGCGATGTCGGAGAAACCTCCCGGCATTTATCCACACGTGTGCGTGAGTACTTGGTCAGTGATAGGACCTCTCACATTTTCAGAAATTTACAGAATTGTCCACAATGTCCCACTCTATGTTCTGATGAGTGTTTTAGCATCTTGCAACACGCTTTCACAACTTTCCAACTTAAAATCAAAGACACTATCCACATTCAATGGGAGCAACCTACTCTTAATTATCAACTTTATCATGTTAATTTAAAACTTTCCTTGTAATTACATATATTGTTCTGTCAGTATTGTTTGTTTTGTTCAATCAGCATTTTGTTATACTCTTTAAATACAACTATGTACTTAGTAAAATCAGAACTGAGTATGACAGAAGAATTGTCGAAACATGTTTTTACAAATTTTCTTTTATTTTCTTAGATTTGAGTTGTTGTAAAATATTGCATTGCTGTGGTCTGAAGCACGTTATTCGATAAAATAACTCAAAGCAGACCCACTGTGCTTCGAAAACATTTTAAATGTCCAGCCTTGATATTTGAAGTTGGTCATTTTCGATCCGTTTTGATGCTCTTCATCTTTAGCCATCCAGCGATGGACTGGCATCCCATTGAGGGGGGGGGGGGGGGGGGGGGGGGGGGGGGGGGGGGGGGGGGGGGGGGGGGGGGGGGATAGCAATGCTCCTTAATTCATGTGACAGAAACCACGACAAACCCAGTTTGAATAGCGTCCTAATTCGTGTCTAGACTTCACATCTTTTACCCTGACTGACCTACGTTTTTTTTTATTTTTCTTTTTTTTGTTTTTAAACAATTTGTTAAAAATTTAATCATTAATTGTACATTAAATTCTGCCTAACATACTCCTTTGCCATACTTGACTAACATCAATAGCATCTTCCAGTGGTGTGTTTCAAACAACAACAACAACGACGACGACAATTCAGCACCAAAAACAGCAACATAATCAACAAGTACAGTAGCAATGAAGATGAGAATGCTGATAATGACGATGACGACAGTGACAGCGACAGAAAACCCTTAAAAGTATACCTATTTGATTGGCTTCCTGCGTCCTACTTTACATATTTGGAAAAGTTATCGATTACCTGACTTTCATTTCTCTTTCCAGATTTTTGCAATGGTGTCTTTGATCGTGATCATCTTGTCAGTAGCAACGTTTTGTATGGAATCTATAGAAAAGCTGAAACAAAATTACAAGGGCTTGTTTGAAGGCATGGAATACTTCTATCTCGTTTGGTTTTCAGCAGATTTCCTGGCGAGACTGCTGACATGCCCTTCTCTGGTAACTTTCTTCAAAACGTTCATGACATGGGTTGACATTGCATCTGTAATACCACTTTACGTTAATTTGGCAATTGGTGACGAAGAAACAAGTGTGTCAGGCACCCTTAACTTTCTTTTCGTTCTCCGGTTGATCAGGATTTTCAGGTTATTCAGGTTTTTCCGGACCATGAGTGGTATGCAAGTGATCGGGCACACACTCAGGGCCAGCGCTAGGGAGCTGTTTCTCCTGATTCTTATCCTCTTGATCCCTATGGTTATTTTCTCCACGTTGGTTTTCTACGCAGAAAAGGTGAGAAACTGGGTACTGGTATTTTGTGCGATTAAAGCTCCTGAGCAGTACATCTGTGTGGAACTCTGTATAAGGTTTTTTAAAGGTAGATCTGGCTTGTTTAAACAACCCTTAGCCAACACCATTGTTACCATAATCATTATCTAATCATGGCGCTTTGAAAATTGCTGGCCCTTACAGCACTTAGGACAGCACCTGTTACCTATGAACCTTGTATATAACTTTCTACATACTGGCTTGCAATTCCCCTCTGGGGAACTGCAAGCCATTCTTTTCTCCTACACTCGTGACAAAATGATTAACTTCTTTATTAAGGTTGTGATTTTGTTTGCCTTGTGTTATGTAATTACAGAGTCATCAAGAAAGGGATTTTTACAGCATCCCAGAAGCCTTTTGGTGGGCTGTAATTACCATGACAACAGTGGGCTACGGTGATGTTCATCCCAAGTCTTTTCTTGGAAAGATTATTGGTACGGTTTGCGCATGCGTAGGAGTTCTAATCGTGGCACTTCCTGTCTCAGTGATTGGCAGTAATTTCACGTTGTTTTACTCTCACGCACAAGCTCAGTTGAAACTTCCGAAAAAGAAAAAAACACCGCTTTTACTCGGTGCTGCAGGCGCACTCGTATCCGAGTCCACTTTGTACAACAACGACGGAAACTCAAACATTTCCGAAGACGGGGAAAGTCCAACCCCTCGGGAAGAAGCCTTGGCTTTACCTCGAAAGAGTCTTCGGAATCCATCGATAACTCCTCGTTGTCGTTCGGTTCGACGAGAAACTGCATTACCACCCGCTGCATTACCAACATTAGAGTCGGACGCCTCAGAAATAGACCGTACTTCCAATGGGAAGAAGAGTATGGAGGAGTTGTTCTCATCACCCCCGACGGGTAGCGCACTAGATATCTCCAGCGGTCTCAAGGGGGCCAGTGACGTTATGCTAAATATAACAGCTCCTACGCACGTACACCGTCGCATGGCGATTTCTCCCGCACCGTCTCCTCCGGTAAGAAAAAACAGTCAGCGTAGGAGACGGCGGGGTGGAAGTAAGCGATTGGCCAACCGTGGCAACGGAGATGCATCATCCAACGAGAAGGATCGCGATAGTTATTACACCACTACGGACGGGGATAGCCCTGGGGAAAGTGAAAGCCACCTGCAATCTAAGCCGGAACATACCGAGCAGGACAGGAACAGCGTAGCACTAGGATCTTCAAACGAGTCAAACACCTCGGAGCACAAGAATGCCACTGCCAAAGTGGCTGTTCTTTCGGACAGTAAAACGGAAGATGACATGCGCGCGCGGAGTGACTCTAGCAATCATGTGAGGATAGCAGGAGTGACGTTTGACTCAAGTGAAGACTTCGTTGAGGAAAAAGGGGAACAGGACAGGAACATTACTAAAATAGACCCAGCCCCACCTTGGAAATCCACCGAAAGTTTGAGCAGTGACAGATCACATCACAACAAACAGCTTGTGGAACCTCGGCAGAGGTCTAAAACTGAACTGGTTTCCAGCGACACTCCGCCATGTAAGAGGAGGAATGCCATAGGTGGAAATCGTGGAATATCTGCATTGCCCATCTCACCACTTGTCAGATCCGAGGAGAGAATTCAAAAAACCCCACCACATGAATTTTTCGGGGACTCTAAAGCCAGGAAATACACCAGCAATGTAAGACATTCTCAGAGCAACGATAAAGATCCTCAGCAAGAATTGAAAAATGTGCCGCATTCTGCGCCATCTCAGGTTAAAAATGCGGTGGAATCTGAGAGTAGAGAGGGTAGAAAAGACATCCTGAGGCCGAACATAAGAGGAAATAAACGAGATAGCATTCAGAATATGACTCGCGTCTGACCACAGTAAGAGCACATTTTAATACAATGTGCAAGAGGGGATGTGGGCTACGCAGAGCAGAAAACGGGGCTCTCGTGTTACTATCACTACATCCTTACTCCCCAGGCTTGAGGAAAAACCGTGAAAGCATAGCACAGTAACGAGTTCAGGAACTTGATTGGTTCTTAGCGCAGCCCGACCTTACCGAACGGTCACGGTGACGTTTTCGTGAATTTTTGTCCATGCGTTCACTTGTTATCAGTTGAATGTTATCTGGTTAGGCCAGGGGTAGGTGTGCAGTAATACTGACATTGATCCAATCCAAAAATTCAATACTCTGAAGGTTAGAACTTGTTCCATTATGGTCATACCGCTCTAACCAGTAGTGTGTGAGTGTGTGCGTGTATGGAAAAAATTCAATAAAGTGATTTCAGAGATGGAAAAAACGAATAAGGTGTTTGGCGGCCTAGGGTCTGTCTGTATGTTGCAACTACCAAAATGCAAATAACACAAATGAACTTTTTCAAAATCTTTGCCGAACTATCAAAAACTAACTTGAGGGAACATTTTGTGGAGCTACTCACACTTTCATACAAATACTGTTTGGGTTTTCTTGCTGCAGACGAACTGTCCAATGAAGTTCTTGAATAGGGGGCTTCTGTCTACAATGGGAATTATTTTGGTAACCTAAATCGAGTATTCGTTATAAACTCCCACTCGGTTAAAATCAAACCAAAATTGTATAAATTTTAAAATCATAATGAACCATTTTAGCACCAAGAATATAATTAATTCCAAAGAAGTATCATTTCAGGACTGAAAGACATTTTTTAAAGGTGACCCTATTGTTTATAAAAAATTATGTATAAAATAATCATTTATTAAAGACAGGTCACTGTTGAAAATTTAAACATGCCTTCAAGGCAAAAATGAACTACTTGTTGTCAGTTTTCACTAAAGCTTCTTACAGAAAGAGCTAAATGGGTGGAATATATTGTGTTTGTATGTTGTTTGAAAACTCACCACCAAAAAAAGAGTAAGTTTAAATAAATTATTGTTTATTAGTATTTTTAGTCTATGGCATAATAAAATATTATTGACTGTGAATATATGAAAATAATTTATGCAAACTGTGGTTTAAGAAATTAATATGACAGTGATCTTCACAGTAATTATGAACACTCCTTAAGCAGTAGTGAAAATAAGGCCTGTGTGGGATTTGAACCCATGAACCCACGAGGTCATGAACCCATGATCTCTGTGATATGCGGTGCTCTAACAATTAAACTAACAAGCCAGTGAAGTGACGTAACAATGACTGTGATTATATGTAAATCACAAAGTTACATGAACTGCACTTTAAGAATTGAACATGAAAGTAATATTTGCAACAATGAGAACTACTTAAGCAGTAGTGAACATGAGGCCTACTGCTAAAGAAGTGTTCATTTCTGCAAAGATTGCTTTCATATTTATTTAAAATGTTCTTAGAACTTATAGGCACTAATTATACCCTGACTGTCACCTGGACTCCTTTAGTGTCATAATCTCCAGTGGCAGCATCCAGATGCAGGGTACAGTTGCTCCAAAATCTTCCAAAACAGACCTGTGGGTATGAAATGCCTCAAACCAAAATTTACCTAAAAAAAAAACAAGATCAAATGATCATATGACAGCTTGACTTGAAGTATTCAAAATTTATGTAACTTGGAATATTTCTAATTGTGTAATGACACTGGTGTAAAAGACAAAAAAAAGGTTTCTTTTTAAGCAAAGTTTGGTCCCACCCATCAAAAATTCCTGGATCTGCCCCCTGCTAATCTTTCACACAACTTTTTCACTCCAGTGAGTGACCAGTATGTAAATTCTCCTTACAATATCAATACAGTGCCAAGAAGAGGGGCGATGAGAATGAAGAAAAATGTCAACTGTGGGATATTCAATTTGATGGATTGAACACCACATTCCAGTGAACAAAGCACTAAGATATAAATATTACAATTTTAACACAGCAATCTGTTCCCACCACAGTGTGGACACACCACAGGAAAACCACCTGAATTATAACCATGCCTTTACACCCTAACATCATTATACATACTCTCAATACTATTTTCTGTACATTTCCTAAGGTTCTCACAGGGAGAATTTGTTAAACAATCAAGAGCTTTTTCTTTAAGTGACATTTCCTTTATTCTCTGGATCTTGATGAATGATTCAGCAGTATATCTAGCTGTAAGGAGAAATTGGTTGGCTGATCAATCTTA